GAGCTGCAACTCTCTCACCTTCCTGGGTGTCTCAGTTATGGGAGGAGCCTATTTTCTCTTCTCTGATTTTCTGGCCTTTGAGGAAGGTCTTGTCATGATCCTACTGTCTAGAGGCCCTTACCAGTGAGACTGCCCTTGCCTATGCCCTTCTAGAGCAACATTTCCAAGTCACCACTGCCCCAAGAGTCATACACAAGACTTGGAGAAGGCATCACAATGCGAGTTCACTAATTTCCAGTTAGAAATTTAAGGCATGAATACTCACACAATCACCACTTTGCTCGAGCTGAATGGGAAATTTAACCATAATCATAAGCTGTTTTCTTTATCAGACACTCATTGTCGTAAGACCTTAATACACAAAATTGGGAAGTTAGACATTCTCTCAGTACTAGGCAAATGTACACTGTGGACCTACCTATAACTAGGGATTTTTGGTGAGCATGAAAACAGAACAAAGGAAGTTAGGCTTGTGACAAAAGGTAAGATAGTCTCATAATGAATCCATATCACTAGAGGGATTCCTGAGAGCCCTAAAATCCTAAATACCCATAAGAACTTTGAGAGGCCAGGTCTCCTTCCTCTAGATTGCTGTGGATGCCTGTCTCTGGCTTGCTTCCAAGGGGCACTGTGTGCCCCCTTCCACACTCTTGCTCACCATCACCTTGTGTTTCTTCTTCAGAGATGTTTAATCAAGCTACAACCTGGACAGGTGGCTTGGGGAACTATTCCCTCTCTTGCTTGTTTGTGCTCAGATCCATTCTGTGTGGATTTCAGAGTTAAGTTCTGAGGGAAATTCTCACTTCTTGTATTTGGAGTAAACCTCAAGCATTAACAGTGAAAGAAGAAGAAGCATATGATTCAGCTGGTGTGTTTATCAGCCAAGACTTCTGTGGAGCAAGATCCAGCCTAGTTGTTGTTCCCACTGATTTGTTTGCATATTGAATGCCAGTTAGGTATGTTCCCCCAAATCTCCTTATGCCAATTTTGCTAGGTATTGTAATTTTACTGTTTAATTTTATGACATAAAATATGAATATGAAACAAATTCATTTATGAAAAATAAGATGAGGCCTTTCCAAAGACTTATATGTACCTAAAAATTGAATAAGACACTTGGAAATATGGAGGAATACTATACTAATTTAGAGCTTGCACTCAAATTGGTCTAACAGGCATTTTAAAATTTTAACCCATTAAAGACACTGAAACTGGAGACTGTAAACAAAACCTTATGGCTATGCTCTATGAGTAAGGCCAACTAAAAGCAATCTTAAAAAGAATGATTTGGTCCCAACATTAAAAAAAAAAAAAGAATGAGAAACTAGAGACATTTATAGCTAAGTGGATGCACATTGAGGCCATACTCTTAAGTGAAATAAACAGGACACACATGTGTAAATACCCAATAGTTTCTCTGGTGTGAAAAACTAAAAGCGTAAATAAGGATCAAAATGTATAATTAATATGTGAAATAGGAAGAAGAGGTCTAAAGGAATAGGGGAAATGGGAGGGAGAGGAGAAAGGAAAGAAGGGAAAAGAAAAAATATGAGAAAAGGAAAAAAATAGAAACAAATTATTTGTAAATAGGAAAGGGTGGAGGGGGTGAAGGCAGGGCCAGGAATGGGGAAAAAACAAGATGCATCATGTAAAGGTACAAGATCTCAATGATGAATGTAACTATATTGTATACCTAAAATGTACCAATAAATAAACTTAATAAAAAAAGTTAATAGATAAATATGTATTTGTGTGTTCTAATAAGAATTAAATGTGTAAGGTAAGTATGTATCTGTCAATTTTTATGCTCCCTTGCTGCGACTGGTTTTTTTAAATTCGTTAACTGGGGTTCCATCTGAGCTGGAAATGAGTGCTTTAGATGCAGTCTGAGTAGTAGCAGTGTAACTACAATGGCTACCATCCTAGAACTACATTTTGTAACAAATACAGGCTATTATTAAAATGTAACATTAATTTACCTATTAAGATGCAGTTATAGGTCATCGGGTAAGCTATACCTAAACAAGTAGGACGTCTTTCTCAATCCCTTTCTTTTCTCCCTACACTTGCCTTGGGAAGTTTAGTATGACATTCAGTATCAACTCCACTGAGATTCCTCTGTGAATCCCAGTTTTCCTGAGCTCTCTGATCCTCCTCTTGACCAGGAGCCCTTGCTTCACTCAGGTACATGCGCACTAAACACCGTGCACAGAAACTGGTTTTCTTTAGCAGCTTTCAGTGTCACACAGAGTAAAATGGGAGTAAACAATGTCTCATGTGATGAGAGGAGTGCAAGTGGCGATGACTTGGGGAAGCACTGCCTCTATTAAGGCATGCTCAGTCGCCTCCAAAGCCCCTGCTTAGCCTCCAAAGTCCTTGGTGACTCACTGAGATAACACTTCCTGTTAGGTCCTCAATTCTCCTGAGTCCTTTCTGGGAGTCTTTCTTTGTTCTGCCTTATCTCCTGTATTTCCTAGTTGCAGTGTGACTGGGGCAAGAGCCCTACTGATTCTCATGTCCATGAACTGGGTTTCCCTCAGTTTCATCTTCTTTTTTTTTTCTTTTTTGGTTCCGGGGATCATACTCAGGACCCTGTGGTTGCAAGGCAGGAGGTGGAACCACTGAGCCAAACCCCCGCACCCCCCCCCTTTTAAAATTTCCACACTTGGTGGGTTTTTTTTGGTACCGGGGATCGAACTCGGGACCTTGTGCTTGCGAGGCAGGCGCCAGAACCACTGAGCTAAATCCCTGGCCCCAGTTCTATCTTCTAAAAAGGTAAAGTTTAAGGTGGGCCTGGTGGCACACAGATGAAATCCCAGCCCTTTGGTAGGCTGAGGCAGAAGGATGGCAAGCTTAAGCCTAGCCTGGGCAACTTAGTGAGACTCCGTCTCAAAAAAAGAGAAACAAAAGGGCTGGGGATGTAGCCCGGTGCCAAGGCCGGGTGGTGTTCAGTCCCCAGCCCTACAAAGGGGATGGGAGGGGCAGTAAAGTTTAACTTCTCAGGCTAGGAGCTCATTGGGTGGGACCAAGGAGCTCCAGTTAATTTACACAACACCATGTGGAAACAATAATAAAGTCACAATTTCAGGATTAGGGGAGGGGCAGAAGGAAACAGTAATTTGTCGTATTAAATTAAAAATATATTTGAAAATCGTTCTGGAAAATGTATGCTACATCTAATGTATAAAGAACTACTGGAAGAAGTGGAAAAGAAACTTTTATATTAATTTTGAAATCAGTTTCCATTAATAAATACAGGTACAAGAAACAAATTGAAAATAGCATAGAACAGGATGTCTCTTTTTTTAAAAAAGAGGAAGATACGGTATTGCTACTCATAATTACAAGAAGTGCATGATTATATTTTAGATGAGTTAACTTAGGTCCATCACACTAACTTCATGGTGTGAAGAAAATAGCACTTGAATGATTTTTTCCCCTTAATTTGTTCTAAATTATAGCAAAGTGCTCTGCAAGAAGCAAGTGCTTGTGTTAATTAACTCTGAGTAAAGAAGGTCACTGGTATACATAGGGCTCATTTTGTGGTTTTGGTTATAGATTTTCTTCTGCAACTAGAATTCATTATTAGGCACTGTAAGCATGTGCAGGTTGTCACTTTTTTATCTAGCACTTCAGAAACGGGCACATTTGTTGATTCTTCTCTAAAATGCAATATTAATAATGGGGCTGACTTAGGAAATAACACTAATGTTTCAAGTATAGAATATTTGTAAGCATACTTCAAATATTGATTTTTTTCTGAGTCAAGGTATTATGGCTGAATTTTAAAAACTACGTATAAATTATTGTTCAGTACTCCAAATTTTACAACATAATTAACAAATCTTTCAGTTGTTTTATGTGGAATTATAAGCACAGAGAAGAAATTTTAATTGCTTGTAAATAATCCAAGATATCAAAAATGTCATTAAGCTTTAGAGAATCCTAAATAGTTAAAGACAATATTTCTAAAAAAGATACAACTTTTTAATGCTCATTTCGAATGTTCACTTAAATTTAGTTTCTTTGCAAGAAAGCCATTGTTTTTATGTCTAAGAATTTTATGGGCCATTATATATGTTAATTATGTTGTGCATCAAACTAATTATACATATATTGGATTTAAACTGAAATTCCTTATGTAAGTTAATATTTGAATTCCATGTATGATCAACAATCTAGGTTTATTTGCCTTTTCTAATTCACTCCAATATTAACTAAGAATCACTATAAACAAGTTGGCTTTAAATGGATTCAGCCACTGTACAAAGTTAATAATGTACTGTATGTCATTCCTGTGATAATTTTTTTCCCCTGGGAATTTAAAAGTTAACTGAACACAATATTAGTCCTTCTTTTCTTTGTTGTTGGCGCAAAACTAAAACTTGCTTTGTAACTCAAAAAGATATCAAAAAAGCTATTTTATCTAAAATTTCCTACTACTTAATAGGCATCACTTAATGCTGTTAAGCCTTTTTCTCTATCTCTGACAGAATTAATTAGTACCCCTTTCTTTTGCTGATTCTGTTCCTCCTGCTATTATTTGTATTACTTGTGAAGTAGCATTCTGATTGTCAAACCAGTGAGCCAAAAAAGACACTGTCTAGAAAAATCTGGTTTCATTTTCTAATTCAAACAAGTATGTTAATATTCATTCTCATCACTCACTTAGAAATGGAACATAGACAAAGCACAAAACTTTGTCATGAGCTTTTCACCTGGATAGGGTAAAATGTCAGATTCTTACCAAAAATCTATACTTTCTTTATTTTCTTTCACAATATTTTTTTCTCTAGAAATATATTTTTTGACACTAGTCAGGGGATAGATGAGGTAAGGTCTCAAACAAAGGCAGTTACTGTTCCTGCAGTTCCATTGTATAATATATATTAATTCAGATTGTGAATACTGGGTACAAATAACTCATCTCTTACTCATTAGTTCATCCTCAACAGAAAAATGTATGGTATGAACACAAGGAAAGACATGAGTCTGTGCCCTAAGTTTGTAATTCCTTTATTTTCAAAAGGTTAATCATACCAATATTGCAAATTTGTTCTTTGGTACCACAGAAGATTTTCCCAAGGTAAGCCATCATAGAAAGATTTGGTGTGCAATCCACGCCCTCTCCTTTCTAAGGTAGAGAAAAACATTTGTGCAAAGAGGAGTGAGAAAGAAGAACCAGCGTGACACCTTGATTACAGGGCTGTTCTCAGGTAAGTCACTTTGAAGAAGAAATAGTATATGAAGGATAAAATTCTGGAAATTGAGATCCTTAAAAGTATCTATACCCTGTATCCTTTGGAAATCTCTATTCGCCCTCATAATATGTGTCCTCAGTTTGAAGGCTGTGGCTTAGAGAATGTATTTCAGAAGCAGATGCAAGATGGGGTGTAGCTTGGTGGTAAAGCACATGCTTAGCAGGAACAAGGGCCTGGTACAATCTCTAGCATCAAAACAAAACCAAACCAAAATTTAAAAACCAAAAAACAAAAAAACAGACTGATAGAAACTACACAATTAATCACAATAATGTCTTTATTTTACTTGATTTAACTGCCTCTGTCAGCCACAGGTAAGAGACCCATTATTAAACTCCAAGGCCTTAGGAGACCTAGATTACATAGAAGAGCCTGGACCCTTGAATGGCTGGATAAAGCAAATAGCTCATGTAGGGGTGGATGAGAAATAAATCTTTACTATGTTCTAATTCCAAGACGTTGGGATTGTTTATTACAGCATTTAGCCTCCCCTGATTAATGGAGTAGTTAATGTTCCTGGGTAGTGTCTTCCTACTACAGGAGTGAAGTGGCCTTGTAGTCAAGAACTGGTGTCCAGGGAGGACCTCAAATGGGAGTCACAGCCAGTTCTCAGGAGACAGCCAGGATAGGGCCAAATCACAGAGAACAGATATAAGCTACACTACCTACAAACTGCACAGCAGTTGCCAGTAGAGCTCTGGGAGTGGGCCGGAAAGCTGCTGTCAGTGGACACCATATAACACACACCCACAGTCAGTCTCCTCCCAGTACCAGATGGACAGCAAGCTCTCACATAACCAAATGTCATTTTGAGGAAGAAAAGAAACTCCAGGGCTGAATGTCTATCTGAACAGATCATCTAGTCCACCCTTGATAGGGAGTGGAACTTGCAAATAGAAGAAAAATTTAACCTGGGAAAAGAATGTTGAAATCAGAAAAACTCAAAACATTAATTGGAAAATCCCAGATTTTCCATTTCCTGAGTCTATAAAGATGCTGAGTTTAATCATGCAGAGTAATTGATTTTTAAAGTGAGGAGGCATATTAATTATGGGTGAGCTTGTGATCCTGCTTTTTTTCTTCTTCATGTAGCTATGAAATATAGTTTAGATTTAAAATAGATGTGGAAAAATTGTAGAAAATGCACATATATGAATAAAGCAGCATATTTTAGTACTTTGTATTTCTGAAATTTCAGCAGTGGAAAGGAGTGCATGATCTGTTTACGGGGGACAGCTTCTCTGGAGATATGGTTCAATACTGAATACTGTGAAAATACAGAACACTGACAAGCAATACTGTCTCTTTCTGCAAAAGCACTTTCCTAATGACATATTTTGTCAGGTTGGTATGAGTGTGGGGCTTTGACTGGAAGGCTAATTGCCTACAGTTTTCACTAAGTCCCCTGAAAAGAACAGAATTTTAATTTCACTTGACAGATTGTTAAATTGAGCTTTATACCATCTGTTTACTTCAAGCCAATTATTCATTTGAGTGTTAAATGTACAACTGCCACACAGTATAATATCTTTTTAGAAATGAAGTTCTAAGACTTAGAAATATTATAAGTCAGTTGTCCTAGTGTGTAACCTACGCAGCAGTAGTAGTAAAGAGCTGCTATAGGGCCCCTTTCTCAGAGCATGCTCTTCAAATCATCTTTCTAAGGATCTTGGTTTGCCACTTAGAAATTCATTCATATTTTCTCCCGGAGCTCCCCCTTGTGACTAGTGGCCACCATCATTGAGGCACTTGGTTGTAATAATTAAAATGCACACTCACAGGAAGGCTCTGTAATTCCCCATTTCCCTCTGTCACGGGATCTTACTTAACTCTCATAATCACCTGCTGTTTTCTGAGCATAGACTTCTTTACTGGGTTACTGTCCATTTTCCCTCAGTAGAATATAAGTGCTATAAACACTGAGATGTCCTGACTTGCAAACCCTAGTACCTCCACTTTCTAGAATAGCATGTTTTTAATAGGAACTAAATAAAAAAAACCTATATAATGAATAAATTTAAATATTGATTATGGAACCATTTTTCCTTCTTAGAGACTGATGAAGGAAGATCTTGATTTTATTATTTACCAACAATATCAAGCCTTTAATCATTATTAATTAGCTGTACTAGCTAGTCCAACACAAAAGGAGATGGTTCCTAGAAGTCATAGTGTATTACAAAGAACACTTAAATCATCTCATTTATATAAAAAAGGTATCTGGACTACAGTTGGAGAGTAATTTATTTAGTACCTCTTAGCATGTCCTCTAGTCTGGTTCTAGTGGGTCTATAATTCAGATCCCCCTTTTTTTCCTTTAAATTCCAGTTATATTTTATGTCTTCTGGTTAAGAATTTATGTATCTTTCGTTCTTACTATGAGTTTTAATAGTACTCAAATATCAATATGTTCCTTTAAGGCTATTTGTAGGATATTTTAAAGTATCAAATAGCAATTACCTAGCAATTGAAGTTTTTCTTAGCTACTTTTTACCTATTGGCTGTTTATGAAAGTGTGCTGTTCACCAACGTCTACACTAGTCAAAGAAATGTAACTAAGCTGGGCTTGGTGATAAATGCCTATAATCTCTGCACTCAAGAGGTGGAGGCAGGAGGATTGCAACAAATTTGAAGCCATCCTGGCCTACACAGTGAGACCTTGTCTCACAAATCAGAGAGAATTTTTTTCTTCTTCTTTAGCTTGAGAAGTCAGGCCTAATAAAAATTAATATCACCCTAAATTGGTTGAGAGCCCAGAACCAATGAGTTCTTTTTGTGGTACTGGGGATTGAACCTAGGGGAGCTCTACCACTGAGCTACACCCTCAGCCTTTCTTTAATATTTATTTTGAGACAGAGGCTTGCTAAATTGCCTAGGCTGGCCTCAAACTTGCAGTCCTCATGCTTCAGCAGGATCTCTGGATTACAGGTTTGTATGACCACCCAGCTCAGAACCTGTGAGTTTTAAACTTACAAATTAGCATATTCCAAACCTATCTATGAAAATGATTAAATTAGAACAAAGAGAAAACCTCTCAGAAGCCTATTTTTCTCATATGCAAAATAGGATTTGAGAATTTGTTTTGCTGCTTCTTTCTCTCTTTTAATTGAATGGGTGCAAATGTCTAAATAGGTACCAGATTAGTCTTAAAATCCCCCCCAAAATTTTAGTAGGAACTTATTAATGCAAAAACTGTTATTCACATTGGTTTGTGAGTTTTCAACAGGGACTTTGCTTTAATATTTCTCATCTTTCTGAAAAATAATCATTGCATAATCCCCCCCCCCTTTTTGGTACTGGGGATTGAACTCAGGACCTTGTGCTTGCGAGGGAGGTGCTGGAACCACCGAGCTACATCCTCAGCCCCCAAATTAACAACTGTACACGATACACTATACTTTTTTTTTTTTTGGTACTGGGAATTGAACTCGGGTCCTTGTGCTTTGAGGCCGGCGGCAGAACCACTGAGCCAAATCCCCAGCCCAATTTCCCCTTTTTAAGAATAGATCAGTTTATGGAAATGAATAAATCAAAATCCATGTGATGTGGTTATAATGAAAGACTGTTAATCACTTTAGGAATAATTAAAACTGTGAGACTATTCACATTCTAACGGCATCTGGTAAAAGGGAAATACAGACAGGATTCCTTTGGTCTTCTTTACTCATCTTCGTGGCTGAGGTATTCTCCAACTTTGCTGTCATTGGTCATTCTTCTCAAGGTCAGAGATGAGAATATTTTCTTCTAAATGTACTGTACTAAAATTGGTTGTAGGGTAGTAAGGATTCCCAAACCCTGCAAGTCTCCGGAAGAAGTTACTGTTCCACTTGTATATGTAGAAGGAAAGTGTGCAAATGACCAGGATTATTAACAACGTCAGTGCAATGGCAAGAGGAGCAATGCTGTGGCTGGGCTCTGAAAGATGAAGAAGCAGAAAACCTCAGTGACAATGAAGTAATAGAGACACCGTCTGTCACCTTGTTGCTTTCTATTTTATTATTTCTAAGAAAAATCAAAATATCTCAACCTACCTTTTCCTGGAAGCTCCTTTTCAGTGTGAATATCTAAAATCAATAAAAAATATAATTAAGGTTTTTCTAATACAGCAAAATCATGTTACTACTTATAGCAGGGTTTGGTAAACTACAGGTCATGGGCAATCTGGCCATTTGTTTCTATAATAATGTTTTATTGAAACTTAGCCATATTCATTCATTTATGTATTGTTTATGACTGTTTTCATGAAGCAATATTAGAAGGACAGAGACTGTATGGTCCCAAAGCTAAAGTATTTACTCTGTGGCCCTTTATAAGAAAAGTCAGTGCCCCTGGATTTAGAGTGTTCATTGTTATTAGTGCTCACAGATATACACTGCTTCTTTTAAGCCAAATAATTTCCATCAAGTCTTAGCACTGTGATACAACAGAAATACAAGTAAAATAAAGTTTTGTTGGGATCTAATGTGGAGTTTGTCCAGCTAGGATAACTTGCCTGCCTCTATGCAAGGATTTTACAATCAGCATTTTCTTGCCTCTGGCACCTCAAGAGTCTTGGGAAATGAATAGCTCCTCTACTTAAAAAGTGAGCTAGCCCCTGCTTTAGGACTTTCTATTGTAAAAATATATCTCTTTCAAGTAGACTATCTGAAACTTTGAAGTCTGCAATTTTTGAACTGGGTTAAGCCTTGAGAAAGATGTAGACAATGATCCAGGGAAGCTCAGGGAATACATCTGCGAGAAGCAGAAACATCTGGAAGCTCTACTTCCACTCACTTCAGTAGATGCATAAGAAACATCACTGTTGTTATCAATAGTAAACCACATTTTTTAAAAACCTTGTTTTTGTAATTTAAAAATAATCTGATGTAATTTTGCTGTAAGTTACTGAAAACATTGTGTGTGAAGGTACTTCTTTATTAAAGACTGTTGAAAGATACTTATTTTCAGGGTAAGGGCAATGGAAGGCATAGAAGAGCACTTAGGATATTTGGAGTGCAGTCCTTGATACAGCCTCAGTTTGGACAAACACTTTTCTCATCTTTAAAGTGGGGATGTTTTATCTCCTCCACTACCTTGGGAAGTTGCTGTGAGGATAAAAAAAGGTGTCCTGCATTATAAAAAGCTTCAAAGTCCTGTACGTACAAGAAGGCATCAGGTGTTTCTGATTTGTTCTTGATACTTAGAGGCTGGTGATAAGTTGGCATACTATTTTTTAGTTATGTTTCTCACACAGAATACTCATACTACTAGAGTTTCAAACATTGGTGCCCACACCCACAGATTTTTTTCTCTTCATTCCCACTGTCTAATTGGTCTCCAAGACCCGATGATTCTCTCCTCCTGTTTGTTCTCTCCTTTTTTAGTTCTACCATTGAGATTACAAATGCTGATCTTTGCCCTGGGTGAGTGCAATTTTGTTGCAGGTATCCACAGAGCACACAGTGGGTTCCTGTCTCCTCTGCCAGGAAGCTCAGCCTACTAGCCTGGCACTCTTTGTGGATGGATCCTGCCTCACGGGTCAACTGTATTTTCCTCAGTCCCAAACAGGAGCCTTCAACTGCAGTTCATTTTCCATTGCTGCCTTTGGCCATTCTAGCTAGGTCTTTGTCCAAAATGTGGTTCTTCCTCTGTTCCAGCTTCTAAAATTCTCTTCATCCTTTGAGATCCCAGAGCCTCACCTCTAAAGACTTTTCCAGCAGCCCAGAGAATACCAATCCCTCCTTCTTGATATAATGACATCTGCAAAACATTCTGAATACTGTAAACATTTTCCCACTGTCAGTGACCCTTCCTGACAGCCTATCTTAGAAATCTCTGCTATTGTTTGCAACTGATTAGAATCTTCTGGCTTACATTTCTAAAATTAATTTTTATCATTATACACTAAGTGCATTTTTCCAGATAAAATATAACTTTTATGATATATTATGCTTGCAACAGAGAATCACATCTACTTGTTCACAAAAAATACACCAAATATATAGATTCCATTTCTTGAGGCTGAAGATGGAACATTAATATTTTGAGCACAACATTTGAATGAAGGTTGCTTGTTTATACTCTAGTTCTCTTCACATGAGGTACACTGCCTTTTTCCTGTTCAGTTAACAGCCAGGATGACACAAGAAAGTCATAAAGTCTTTGCATTCATAAGGATTTTTTTCTTCACATCAGTGAAAAAAGGAGCTGAATATTCTCGCCCTTGTTTGCTATAGAATAAGATGATAATGCCAGAACCTATCAGATAGTCTCTGAGTACATGGATTTCACATAAGCTTAAATGCTAAAGTGGTGGGGTAACAGTAGTCAAGGTAGAATCAAAATGAAGAATTACCCTCTGATGTTACCAACCTGCCTCCATTTTACATATAAACCCCTTCTTGTCTTGACACGGGGATAACTGCCACACTCCTTCAGGGATCCTCAGGGCAATGCACTGATGGGACTTGAGGGGGTCCATGTCTGTTTTCCAAATGCCCCAGTTTGACTGGTCTGTGGGTGTTCCATCAAACCACTTTATGGTTTCATCTGTGGAAAAATTACTGACTTACTATGAATTATGTGCATAGTTATGAGATATTCTAAGTCTGGAATGAAGAACCATATAAAGCACCTCTCAAATTTCGTGATATTCTCTTGGAAGCATTTGCTTGCCTCCATAAACACAGTCATGAACCCAACATCAAAAGGTAGGTATTAAAAAAGTTGCCTTGTGAGCCATCCTCTATTTACTTCAGATATATTCTCATTTAGTTCATCATGTTTTTTAATGTAACAGCTTGAATTTTTAAATGTTCCATGTAATTTTTAACCAATTTAAAGAAATCATTTAGTAAATGAAACTAGTCAATGTAAAGAAAAAATCCTTTGAAGTCCTAACATCTGTGTCATTACAAAATGACTCACTTTCTAAAGGTATTTTACAATGCATTTTAAATAGCAAGCCAGTGATATACAAAGGGAGTAGGGGCAACGGCAGAGTTCATCCTGGGCATAGGTAATAAGGTGTACATGGGGTGCACTGTCTGAAAAGAACTTAAAGCTAACAATAAAGTTACCTAAAAGTAATTGCTTTCTATTATCGCCATATTTCTATTATTAAGTAAGCCTGCTTTCTATTATCGCCATCTGCTAGAAATTCTAAATAATGTCAATGATTAAATTACTCTTTGCAAGGGTAGGCTCACCCCCTGCCCTGATACACCACTGTAACAAGCTCTTCATGCCAATTAAAATAATTTTCCTTACAAGTAGTATCTTTCAATAACCATCAATTACATAAAGAAGAGAATACCATGCTTCCACTTTATTACAAACTCTGGTTTTTATGAGTAGCAAATAAGAATTCTAATAGCACAATTTATCACTGAAACATTTCCATAACTCTATTGTGCTTTTCTAATACTTAGGAATCTGGGGTATTTTCAAATCAATATGGTTTTGGTGTACTGCGACTTAGTCTGTGAACAGAGTTCCAACCAAGCATCATCACAGTAAGTATCAAGCTAAACCTGTTGCTTGTTTGTTTTGATGTCTGCTATGCTGGGGTTATTTCAAAGGACAAGGGAGCATAAATAAGATAACAATATTGTTTTTGGAAAAATGGCTTAAGGATTCATACTATCCCCCACCCCCGCCAGCAAATGTGCACAAGGAGAATTTTCTGTCTCACAGATGCCATATATTTATTTATGCCCTCTCCTCATCTCCACTCAAATCACTTACTCTTACTATCAATTTGAGCATTCAACCAAACCATCTGGACAGAAGAACCAAAAGCTAAAAGCTCTTCTAGGAGAAATGAATTTTCAGCTTCATCCTTGATTGTTAACAGATTAGATCCTACAAAAGATGAAAACAGCAAATGAACAAGTATTTGTGCTTACACATACTTATAATTTTAAAATTGTTTCCTATACCATTACTTGTAGAGTAGAGGCTTTGAAGAGTAAAAATTTCTACTACTCAACATGATGTGTGTTTATATGTGTGTGTGTGTGTGCGCGCGCGCGCGCGCGCTCGTGCACGAATATGCGCTTGACTCTGGGAGTCAACCAGAGCCTCACACAGGCTAGGTATGTGGTCTACCACTAAGATACACACCCAGCCCAAAATTTCCATCATTAATAAGTGATTTTTTATTAAAACTTTAATTTAAACCATGTTTATTAAAAGATACACGCTTGTGCTTAAGAAATTAAAGTGGTATTTATTTTAGAGAACATTAAAATTCATAATGCAAGTGCATTCAAAAGGAACTTTTTCTTGGGAAAGTGCAGTATGCTGAGAAATCATTTTATGTTTTCAAATTTTACATTGGACATTGAGTTGCATATATTAGCTGCTCATCAAACAAACAAACTCAATAGTATGCATCTTAGGTTTTTTTTTTGCTCTTAATGTCACTAACTAATCAGACAAATGATGAAACCATATTGCTTACTAGAGTGTCAAGAAGGCGCACATGAAAGCATTTTACCATCACAAAAGAATTACCTTCCTTTTTGCAAAATTCATGAGCAGCCTCAAAACTTGTACTGTCTAGGACTGTAGAAAAACTGTAGCAATTACTCTTAAATTTTATCCAGGGAATAGATGTTTCTGAGCACAACACTGGGTGTTCAAATAGTTTTCTCTCTATGAAGAAAAACCAGTTATGATTTCAGGGTGGAGATGGAGTTCATTTATTGAAATAAATATTGCATTACATTCTATGAAAGAACAAGATGAATACATGCAGTAAGATTTTCATGGTAATAGTCTGAAAGGTCAGATTCAGTGTAAACGATTTCAAAATTTGAGCCAGTATTTAGCATTTCTGGAAGAACTAATCCTTACCTAAACATAGCAGGGCATATTAATACATAGTTTTGTGGGCTTAGTTTGAGTCCTGACTGGGTCATGTTTACAACAAGGTTGGGATATCTGGAAGATATGATTCTTGGAAATAGTGGCAGTGAAACAATGCTGTCAAGAGGAATTTCCAAATATACAAAATAAGTTCTATGCAGTGCTGAATATCACAGACTTAAAAAAATCCTTACTAATAAACCTATGTGAGAAAATAATGTATTCAATAAAATATCATACCATAAAATAAAGGAAACTTGAAGGAACTTTACAACAGAGAGCAAGCAAGGCAGTCAGACACATCCACGCTGAGATCCTGGCTCCACCACTTCCTAGTTGTGTGGCTGTGGGCCTGTTACCCTACATGTTGGTTTCTTTATAAAGGGAGCTAACAATAATACCATTTTTACAATGTTAGAAGCTTAAATGCATTAGTACCTGAGACTTTCCAAGCACTTAGTGAATTTATTGTTTTCAAAAAGGAAGAGCAGGTTTTATAGTATATTAGGAACAGAATTAATATATATTATATATTCTTATATGCATAGTTAATCTTGATTATCAACTAATCAAATCCCCTGTCACAGTCCTCTACACATGCTCGTGATGTTTGCTTCTAGTCCGATTTTCCTTCTCTCCCTTACCTGTAACCTATGATATAGGCAAACACTGGCTTTGCCTCACACACTCCCAGCCCTGCCATCCCACTGTTTTTCTCTCAGCTTTTCTCCTAAGAATGCTTCACCATGTTCTATTATTGCTTATTTACATCCCACTGTTTGAAGGCCTATCTGCACTGTCATGTCCGTTCTGCATTCCCCAAATGGATATGATGCATTCTTTCCTTGAGAACTCCCACAATACTTGCCACCTCTCTCATCTCATTTGAAAGTCATGCCTGGTGTAAGAGTTATTTGTCTTTACATCACTGACCAGACCAGAGACTTCTTGAGCACAGAGAATTCTTCTTGCTACTCATGCCCATACTCCCTGCTCAACACAGCCTTGCACACAATAGGTGCACAGGACATATTTTTGAGTTGAATATAATTGTACCTACCAGTGGGCACATGACAAATGGCACCCTGCAGAAATGACTCACAGGCTGCGCTATGCCAGCGTCCATTCATGTCAGCAAAAACACAGTCACCAAAGAAAGATGGCTCCTCATCTTTCCAAAAAGTGAAAGAGGATTTGGTGCCATCTGACCAGTCAAAATTACGACCATTCTGTGGAGGGAAATTGAGTCATCATTTCCTTGGCAAGACTGCTGGCAACATTATCCAGTGCTGTCTAAGCATCCCACACTTCTCACACAGATTTCTATTTCCATACTTTTTTTTATAAGACAGCTTATGAATTCAGCTTGACAAAAAGGAGTATCTGCCATAAGTGACATCTTTTTTAGTTTTGAGGAATCCTTGGCTTCTTGCCACCACAATTTCTTAGTAAGTAATCAGAGGGAAGTAGGATCAAAACCTTGTTTCTTTACACCAAAATAAACTCCAGACTGATCAAAGATTCAAGCATAAGATTGAAAACATAAAAATGTGAAAGAAAATTTAGCTAAAAATGTTTATATATTTGGTGTATGGGGAATCTAAGTTATACAAAATCCAGTGACCATACAGCAAAATTGACTGCATAAAGTTAAAACATTCTTTGATACAAAAATTCAATAAAAACCATACAATACCATTCTTTCAACCATCCCACTGGCAAAAATTAACACTTTGATAATAGTGTGTGTTAGTAAGGATGTGAAAAAACTTAGATATAATGCCAACCATGGTGGCTCACACTTGTAATCCCAGGTCTTGGGAGGCTGAGGCAGGAGCATTGTTGTAAATTTGAGGCCAGTTTGGGCTCATAGTGAGTTCCAGGCCAGCCTAAATTGCATAGTGAGACCTTGTCTCAAAAACAAAACCCCAAAACTAGATGTTATTATGAGGTGTGTAAATTGGTGCAAACTTTTGGAGGATGATTTGGCAGTACTTGTTACAATTTAAATGTGCTAAGCAATTTCACTTCTGGAAATTTATCCTACTTGCATAATACTAGTTGTGCAAATACACATTCACAAAAGAATGGTTTAATAAACTGTAGCACAGTATATCCTTATATCCTGCTGTTCCAGAGAATGCATGAGATTTTTATGTGCTCTGGAGGAAAATTGTGGCAGACGCATTACATAGAAAAGCAAGAACCACATACATAGTATGATCTCATTTGTGTTTAAAACACAATGTACATATTCCTCTATTACATGTGGATAATGTGGATACACATATAATTTCTAGATGGCACACGAGAAACCACTTACAATAACAAAGGAGTAGAACTAGGGGTAGGATAGAATTGAGTTTACTCTTCACTACTTTGTGTAATATTTTTATTTAAAAACACCAGAAAACAAAACAAAAAATCTTATCCTCTAAATCCCACTACTAGAGGAAAAAACCAAAACCCAAACCTCACATTTTAAATTTCAAGAGGTACTGAATTAATTAACAATCAATTTTCTAGGCAGGAAGCATGAGTCGTTTATCTTGGGGATCCCTGATGTGTAACAAATTACCCCAATGCAGTGCTTGAGTTCAAGATGTGTTCTGGAGCATAGTTGTGGCAGGATTCAGGGCTGCTTGGAAATGTTTGGAGAATTTTAGAGGGCCATGAAGTCTAAAAATTAAGCAAGTTAGGACCAGGGATTTAGCTCAGTGGTGCCGCTGCCTGCCTTGAAAGTACAAGGTCCTGAG